TCAAAGAATTGAATCAATGAATGCATGCATTGTATAGCACTGTACGGAAAGCACTAATTTTTTGTTCACTCAAAACACGCGCTTTTGACTTTACATTAAGATTATGACCTAGGTACAAATGTTATGCAAATTTGGTGACATAAGCATAAAATGTTCATTATTGGTGAACATTTTGGTGCACTTTTCATTTAAATATTCAAATGTTTAATATTTTAATTTTAAATACCAAATCCTTGGTTTGAAAAGAATATCCCTATATATACGGTAATCTAAATGTTTATGGTACATAACTGTGTGTAAAAACTTTACCTGATGTCTACACTAATAGTAAACAAACGGCTTACGGTAAAGCCATGTTTCTGCTTGGCATACCCTTGCAATTGAAAACAATCCCTTAATTATAAACGACTTAGGAATTTACGAAATCACTAATAGGATAACTAAAAGATAATACAATTGCTTTTAAAGTAAAATATAAATAACAGCTTACAATGGATTGTCAACAAGATTGCATTTGATCTCGATAACTGTGTTAAATCGACTCACAGATTATGTTTTTAGTTTCAGCATATTTGGCAATAATCAATGTAATTCATATTTATATTTATATAACCTTTGGTTACCAATATCTTAAACAAATAGTATTATAAATACAATTAAACATACAGTTTATCACAATGACAACTCACTTTCAATTGTTGAATAGTATCGGTTGACTCGGATTCTGGAAACAAAGCAAAAGCAAACTTAATGTAAGTGAGCGCTTGCTTTAGTCGTCCACTTCTGGCCTCAGTGTAGGCCAAGTAGTTGAATATATGAGCCCTGGTCTCGTCGGGTGCCTCGTCCTCATCCACTTTGCTGATCGCCTCCTCAAACCATAGCCTGGCGTTCGGGTAATCGTTGTTATGATAGGTTTGTTTGCCAATCAGGAGGCAGTCGTAAGCGCTTAACGTTATGTTAGTCTCCCGCCTGACAAACACTTTCTCCACACCCGTAATGCTGTCATTATATCGTAGGACACCATTGGCCAGGGATTTCACGTCCAGTTTATACACATTTACCAGATTTATAACTCCATTGACAGCGTCTTTAGACATAATTTTATTTATTTAATTAAACTTTGTGTTAAAGTTTGTTTGCAAATACCATTAAACTCCTCATCCGTCACAGGTTTCTGGTTTGTTTGCGGCATAAATTTGACTGAACTTATTTGATTAAAAATCTGTGCTTGACTATTATCCAGACCAATTTGCTTGACTTGAATGCTGCGAATGGTGTCCACAGTTTCCTTCAAGAGGTCAGAAATCTCTTTCCACTCGACGGCCATACGTCTGATGAGTAGATAGACATCGATGGGATGTCTTAACTCTGGTTCGTCGCCATTGAATGCCAATGAATTCAAGTGCGAAAACCCTACCATTAATTGCTTTAATTCGGTGATTGTCTCCTCCTCTGCCACCAAAAACTCCTTCAGGTTTTTAATCATTAATTTCTCTTTGTTTAATAGTCTCTCGAGTTTTGTGAACTCAATGTTAAAGCAAATGACATTTGAATGAAATGTGAAAAATTGATATAAGAGTAGAGTTATTAAGAATTGTTTCATTTTTAAGAGATTAATCGTTATATATTTAATCACTTTCGGTAAAAATGATATGCATTTGTGCCCAAAATGTTACAACTAATCATGTATTTTAACTAAACATACGTACTTTACAATAGCGACCAAATGAACAACTATAAGGTCAAGAGTACAATATTTTTGTATTTTATAACATGTGTTAGTTTTACATATTATAACTTTTACATATTTTTACATAATTATAACATATTACTTTTTGTTAAACAATAAGTTTGATTGACAAACAAGTGCTAATCAATTATACTGTACAATATTTGAGTTTAATATACTTTTATTATTTATTCAGTGTTTCAGTCTAGTCACACATTTGTATTTATAACATATTTAGTGGTTATATTAATAATATTTAATATTAAGAAAAATATTCTTCAAGAATAATCTCATGATTGTGTTCATGTAATAAACATATTAACTTAAGTAAGTCTTTTAGTCCCACACATAGGCACCCACTATTATACAGTATATTTTCTGTGAACAAATCTTGTTTTTAGTTTATTATAATTTTATTATCAATACATAACATGAATTATACAATTTAATTATAATTATCTGCCAAAATATTGTTAATAAATTCTCAGAGCTTAAGTTCAAAATAATATTATATTACCGCTATATTCAATAGCACAACACTTTCTAATAAGTTATATATTGAATATTATTGAAACAGTACAAGTATGCTCTATTTTATAATCACTCATTTATTTTAATAGACTAATTATTTTCTAAACAATAAGTCTACTTACAACCCATATTCCTAAAATTAAATTTTGTGTTATAATGTAATAAAGTGATATAAATTATTAAAGGTTTTATAAAATTCAAAAGATTTAAAATAACTTCTTTACTTCCCTCTAATTATCAAAAAAAGACTTTTCTAATAAATTCTTTACTACAGATTCCTCAATGCAATGCAGAATTTAAAATTATCTTTAAATTTTAAACAAAAGTGTTTACATAAGCCTTAAATGTTAATAAAATTTAATATTTATGTACTCACATTTTATTATAGTGTTTTCTAGGACAAATGGGATTTCCACTTATAATAAACAAATATAATATTATATTTATTTATTGCTATAAAAATGTTTTAATAAAATCTATTTATACTTTTACTAACTTTTAAGACAACATAAGAATATTGTTTTTTATTTATTAATTAATAACGCTATTGTAACACTAATAAAAGCGTAATTACATTATTTTTTAACAAGTGAATGATTTATTTGTTTATTGTGAATACATTAAATAAATATTTATTATTGATTAATATTTTTATTTTTAATAAACAACATACAGGTAGAAAATAATATTTCTAAGAAATTTATTCATGGAAACCAAAATAACCTTACAATATTTTCTATGAATATATCTAATTTATATTTCAATAATACAGTTTGTGTTAACTTTTAAATTGGATTTTATTTTGATATTTAAAACTAATATCAGTCAATCAAAAAATTTTTAAATATTCTTATCTCAAACACTTAATATTTAGATTTCAAGTAACAAAACAATATTATAATATGAGAAAATATTCTTTACAAGAATGTCTAGACAACTTTTCAATAAATGTTTTCAATGACTACTAAAATGATGAATTCAATAAATTTAATCGAATTTAATTCATATTAAAATTTATCCAAAACTTGTTTTCTATATATAGATTACATTAGATTAGACTTCTTATTGATCTCAAACCTAGATTTAAAAATGTGAATTTTGCTATATAAATGTACTGGTATACTGTTTGTACTATAATACTGAGAACTTATGCAATAAGTTATTGCATGAATACATTAATTATCTCTTGATTTATATTATACTTAAACTCATTAATCAAATATAATATTATGAGAATGTTTGGCAAAATTATACATTTCTTATGATTAAGTAATAGCTTTATTTCGGTTCTCATCACTGAATGTATAAATAGAGAGAAATATTTAGTGACATATCCTTTCATGTGATTTATTTTTAATGCCTTTCTCTCATTACTACAGTACAGTAGTTAACATTATTTCACAACTCTATTGGGAAAAAGTAGCCATAATTTTTATTAATTAATTAGATATTTAGTTACTGTATGATTATTAATGTAATCTTTAATAAATTATTCACTATAATATAATCCAAAGAAAAAGAAATAAATGTGAAAAAATATTGCTTCAATGTGAAAAAACGTGATTCATTAATTTTTCATATTTATTTTGTTTTCTGAGCACTGATATACAACTTTGTGACTAAACTACTGTAATGTAATGTAAAATACTCTCTCTCTCT